ATTTGGCGCTTACATTGCCGCATCTTGCCTTCTAATGCGTGGCTCCCACAAGCTCTCAGATTGAACAAAGACCAGAAAGGCAAGCCGTGTGGCCCCATCCTAACACAAGTCATTACCATGCCCCCCCCGTAAACCCAATATGTAACCTCAATACATACCCTATATCACCCTATATCAACCCTAGACCCTGCAACAAACTTGGAATGTCGAGACTGTAAAATTCGCCTGGTGCAGTCGAGTAAACCCACGCCAGCTCAGGCCAAACAACGCTTCCCCCAGACCCCCTCGAAGGATCCATGCACGGAAATACAGGGTAAATGTCGGGGTTATATAGGGATAGCGGAAAATAAGATGGAAACTACTACATTGTAATAGGGTATATACTGGGGTCGTATCCCCCTGAAGGATCCTAAAAATGGAACCCCCCAACATTCCCCTAGTTTCCCCAATGTAGTCATGCGGTCATGTTGGTGGGTTCCATTTTTTGGATCCTCTAGGGGATCTGGGTATTCAGCTACCCCTGCGGTCAGTACGCCACAGCTCACCAGATTCACTTGGACGCATCTTCAAAGGTCAAGCGTTTCAGGGACCCGCATTGCCCGTTTCCTCATGTGAGCTATAGCCTAAACTGTTAGTATCCCCCTTGATACCACCTGCCTATATAATCCCCTATATAACCCGTATTTAAGGAGTTTAGACCCTAAACCTTACAATCCCCTATAGGAGCTCCTTGGCAGCCGTGGCAGCCGAGCTGCTTGTGTGTGGAGACTGCCTCCAGGAGCTTAGCGTGGCAAAGACCAACCTCCGCAGATCGAAGGCCCCATCTTGGTACGCAACTAAATAATACTGATAACAGTACGGGATGCCGGGATGCCCACCTCTTTGCGATCCAATCTCGAATCCAGCCAAGCGCATCGAAACATGATAGCTTAAGACTGTAGAGTGGGTTGCAAATATGCTTCCGCCTGAATTCGAGGAAGCCGCGAAACCTTTTCACACAAACACTTACAGCTCTAACAACTCAAGTTTATGTGCTCTTACTGGCGCCCCTCCACAGCTAGGCGACCGATTTACTCGGAGAGAATGTTCAGTACACTCCTGTGCCCGGCAAGTTGTGTAGGCATGCAGCTAACAGCTAAGCCCACGACCTTCACGCTGCTACGTAATTTTCTATGAGAGGCATTTGGATACTTCTCCATATGGGGCACTCCTCATAGGCCCCAAAACATGGATCTCCGAAAAGGAGGCGTGAAGCACCCTAAGCCGGATAGCCGGTAAACGGAATCATAATATTGAGAACCACCCAACTCCTAGGACCTAGGGCAAGTCACGAGTGAAGTGTCAGAGCCAGCGACTGCCTTCAAAGGGCATTTGAGGGTTCCCACGATCATGGGTACCATTTTGGGGGGTCCCCATAATGAGGACTGTAGTCTTTTGGGGTCTATATTGGGGTCACCTTATTTTGAGAAACTACCATTTCTCACCGTGTTCTCAATCACGAATCCAATCATCCCGAGAGGGTCATTTTGGGCTTGGGGTTTTAAAGTCTTAGAATTCAAGGTCCTCTCTGCCTGCTTACAGACTTGCTTCAGGGACAGAGCTCTGTAAACAAGCTGGCGATGAAAGGTTGATAGCATGGGATGCCCCTACATGGGCCGGAGGTGTGAAAATCCCCAGCAGGAAGCTTCTGTACCTTAGTACGACCCATGTTGTGAAGGGGATGTGAAAATGCATAAGGCATAGGAGCACGACCGCACCGCTTGACTCTTTTGGAAAGAGCTGAGGACAACGACTTGTCGAAGTCTCCAAACCCCGGTTGAATATTCAAATCCTGAATCCCAAACCATCAATCACGCCCAACCTAGCATTAAACAATAGCCTCACCAGGGCCAAATCCTGCCCGAATTACCCAACTCTGGGCAAACAAGACCGTCGATGCCCGAAGAAATGAAAAGATTACCTCCTGGTGAATTTGATCTAACAGAAATATCACAACTTGTCCTGAGGACTCTGGCAGCCCAGAAGGGTTCAAGCCTGCAGCCTAAACTGGGTTGCTGTTAAGGAACTTAATTGAAGTTACTATATTGGGGAAACCCTGTTAATTACCATATATACCCCTTATGGTAACTTAAGCTAAATTTAACTGCACCCCAGTAAACCCTTGTGGATGTGGCCTTGCCGACGTAATGCCATGTGGTCCAGAGGCACGGCTCACAACACCAATCGCCGGCAATGAGCTCCTGGGTTTTTGACGCTTGCGATCCCTGCGTATCCCCCACACATCTCGCATGTATAAGCCCTAGTCCAAAATCCCGTACCCTAGGCCCTAAACGCTCCGACCGGCGGTCTGCGCGCGCCTGAACCCCAACCACAAAATCCCCAAACCATAGACGCTAAAACGTTGAAAGCTTAAATCCCAAACCGTATCTTGGGGAACCCTGAAAGTTTGCACGGTTGGGCTGGAATGTTCGCAGCACCGCGCGAATCAGACATGACAATCAAGAATGCCGGCATGCTTAGGCGAGGCCCGACGAACACTTCTAATCAGGGTGCTGTGCGAGCCCAGCTGATGCGATGTTCGCGTTATGGGCAACGTCACATATGTGTGGTTTTCATGCTAAGTTCCAGTTCCCTGAATAACCCAAGTTTTCCGGAATCCTTAGCACCCAAATTAAAAGCCTAAAGCCCCAGACCCCAAGTCCACAAGCTTCAAGCCCGAGGAGCTTCTGCCGCCCAGCAACACTGGCCACTGGGGACCACAGCCTCTTAAATGGCTCAGGGCTCATGGATGTCTTACTTCCAAAATAATACGATCAGCTATAACAAGAGAACTAGTTAACTAGTTTGGATAGTAATACTATGTAATGCGCTTATCACGAGACGGCTATTAAGTGCACAATGCAGCATGCCAGCGATAGGAAGAGTGTTTACTGACTTTGCTTTGCCTTGACTGAAACTGGGTACCCGTGGTGGCCTGGCAACATTGGAATGCAGCATCACACGTGTCTCTCTTTAAGCGCTGCGCAAGCAAAGAACCCAAGACATTCTTTCAGACTCGTACTGGTCTGTGCTGGGGCTTCCCATGGTGGCTGCCGTTCGTACCTAATTCTAATTGATTAGGGCCTAGGATCATTACTTAGGGACAGGAGGCCGTCACTGAATCAGGACAAGACGCCTTTAATCGGCTTCCTCGCCCCGTGGACAGCAGGTTGTCGTGGCTACCAGCTCCCTCCAACATGCGCCGATACCTTGATAAATTAACTGCAAGCGTCAGCAAAGGCACCGCCAGGATGAACCTCCTACCACCTTCAAGAGACGCTTCTTTCAAGATTCCTCCAAAGAATTCTTGCATGATCCCTCTCCTACATCAAAGGTCCTAAGCAATTTAATGAACGTAGTTCAATCATGCAAAGGCCATCGCTTGCAATAGATATAGGCCAAACTAGCAGATCTTTCAAGCTTCAACTCAGCTTTGTTCTGCCCCCGATCTCCAGTAGATGTGGTTCTGCTTCAGCACTGTTCGTGTGCGTCCAGATGCATGACCTGGCCGCCGACAATGAAGAGCATGTTTTCACAGCTCGGGCCAGCAGAAAACAGGGTCTCCTGATGCAGAAAAACAACATCTCACGTCCTTGCGAGGCATGTGTCAATTGGAAGTTCACATGGCGCTCGTAAGGTGCCTTGGCCTACTGGGAGGGATCTCCCTGCAAGCATGTGGCCCACAAAGCTGCCCGGACTATATCATGGCTTTGCACTGTAACAGAATGGCAACGCTTCCGCTCAAGTATGCTGCTTGGATACTGACAGTATCACAACCGCACAATCCGCGCAACAGAATGTAGGACATACCCTTTATCCCAATTACTCAGGCCCGCACATTCTTGTGGGGCTGGCCACTTCTGGAAGGGAGTTTAGACACATTTGAGCAGTCCTTTAAAGTGTGGATTGCAGAAATGCGGCTTCAAATTGAGTGGACCGCAGCCATGCACCGAGCAAAAATGCTGGGGCCCACCTGCCCTAAAACCTATCAATGACCTCAATCCAATAAATCCATCCTCCTATCCCGCAGAGGCCAACCCAGCCTGGAAGCTAGAGGGCAAACCATCATGAAGGGTGCACCATGAACCTAATAGCCTGTGTAGAAATGCAGGACTCAAAGGGCTACGAGTACAGGACTCTACCAGAACAGACACCAAAACCCATTTCTATTCACCCCAGAGACCTTATGCATAGGTTTCTCCTCTGGCACGACGCGGATCTCCTCGAGACCGTGAGCGCAGAGCTCGTACTGCAAGGCAGCATGCCTTGAGGGCAGCTGGGTTTGATCTCCGACGCTTGCGCAAGGTCTGGGCAGAAGGCTCAAGCTTTTAAGGGTATTGCGCATTGATTTAAAGAAGCTGCCAACCAAGTATTCTAGGCCAATACTACAACTAAACGGAACGTGCCTTGCCCCCTTGCAGAGGTTTTGGGGTGTCGGTCTTCCCGGAAAAGATTTGAAAGGGCCTACTATCAGGAAAGACGACTCCTTAACGAGGACAGAATGTTGTAGAGTGATTACCGCGCAATTCAGACTACTTTCAAAGATCACAGGAGGCTTTCTGCGCTTGGCAAGCAAGCCTTCATTGCCACAAGCCAGTATGGCAGCCAACGTGACCCAAGCACGCCACGCAATACAAATGGCCAAGTTTCAATGCCAAGGCAGTTGCAAGTGGATCGCATGCAGAACCCCCAACCTACACCCCGACACTTGAAGGCAAGTGTTGAGGGTTGGGATCATCTGTCCTGACCTGGACGTTCGCTGAGGATTGCCAGGCTATGCTAGGTGCTAGATGCCCAATACCACGACGCGGATCCCTCGCAAAAATGCCACAGCCATACAAAAATGAAAGGTAAATGCCGGTAAATGCTGGTCATGGATGAACTTGCTTTGTGTTTTTGGCCGACTGTTGGCCACCAGTACTCCTTTGGGGGCCGCAGTGACCAATGACTGGGGCGCGCGCTTTCGAAGCAAGTCATCGAGGAACCGGTGAGCTGCGAACACAGGGCTGAGGGCTTCCCGGCACAGCTCGCGATACAGGAACTGTGGCAGGACGTTTCCTCAGTTGCTTTCATCAGCCCCTAGAAATTTCATCGTCTCAGGCACCGTTCTTCAAATTGCCTTAGGATCCTCAAAACAAGGTTGGAGGGCCTTGCTGGTCTTCAAGCTGGGGGTTTAGGCGGAGACGTGAATGTTTGCACCTCAAGAAATTGGACGGGAGGTTGTCGTTGACGCCTAAATCCGAGCTTCCTACTTCAGACAACGTGTATGTAGCAGCGTAGGGACTGAAGGGCAACTGTACTTACTGTAGTTATCGCAGTAACTGGAGTTGGGAATGGGAGGGGCGAAGCTCGGGCAACCAATACGGTATACCCGCATAGCCGAAAATCACATGGCACGCCCACTTGAAACTGAAAAGCTTGAACAGCTATTCGAACTTAGCGTCTCATCTCCCGCTTCGACGGCCGCTGGATCCTTGACTTGTTCCGCTGCCTCAGATAACAATACAAAGGCTTTTAAGGCGCAATGGCAAGTAGGGGACAGCTACCTAGAGCAGGGTCTATGGTTTAGGCCCCTAGAGGTGGAACAATTTACTGTGGCCTGGGGTTTGGGGGTTTGGGCTTGTGCTCTGTTCTTCTGTGCTTGCCGCGGACAGAAATGCAGGAGTTACAACTGGCTCGGTCTTGCAGTGAGCAAGAATAGAACTAGTGCTGGTAGTAGTAACAATAATAGAAATAGATTATTATTAATAATGGTGCTAAAATAGTAAAGCTCCACATGCTGCTACTTGAAGCCCTACAGCCTTGCTAGTCTTTAGTGACTGGCTAAGTTGGCCACATCTTTTTCCTTCCACAACATGGAGTCAAGCTGTTTTGGGATCAATTGTATAGGAAATCACTTTGTGATGTGCGAGTGGTAAGGTCCCTGTGCTTTTGAATCTTCGGGGGTGGCAGCTTCAAGGAGCACCTGTAAACACCACCAGTTGGGCCTCACTTGAAATGATTGCGTCAAGGATCCTCTTTAAAATCTACGAACTCACCGGCCAGGGCCTGCCACAAGGCCCGCTGGTTGCTGCTTGATGCAAGATGTTCCCAGATGTTTACGATGTTTAGGGGCTCTGTCAGGCATGACACAGGTAGTTCCCAAGATGCTCTGTGACGATCTGCATCTGGACACTTGAGACCTCCTCCCCACTCTTGGAATTTTGGGCGCTCACCATCTAGCCTCCAGGCAAGACTGCTCTCAAGAAGCTAAGGTGCAAATATTCCCTGAGTTGTATCTGCAGGTCCCAAGACACGGGATACATCATCAGGTAGTCTGAGACCTGCGCTGGTTGCGACACTTTTGGTTGGGAATGGCAAGTCTCTTGCATAGGTCGGCCATGCTGTGTAGCCTGCTTATGCTCTATTTCGGCACTTGGAATGTTGGGGGTTAGGGTGACCCTTGACTTAGCCTGACTGCCACTCAAATCCTGAAGTGCTGAACACTTTTTTGCAGCTTCAGGCCCAGCTATAAAGTAGGCTAGCTCTGAAAAACTTTTGAGTCACAGTCGCCTATATAATCTTCGTCATAAAGCCCCCTTTAGATTATGGTTCTTATAGAGTCTTAAACTGTAGGCACTTTGCGCCTGGTATTCCGCTTCTCTTTGTTGCCTGCGTACGCGACGGATGTCGGAGATGTCCTGGGCTCCCATGAGCCTTAACCCCTGAACCCTGCTTCAACGAAGTCAATGCTGATCCATGAAGCCTCAGGAATTGAACAGGTTCCTTCATGGCATAACCTTCCAGAAAATGGAAAATGAAAGTTTCCATGATGGAAGGATAGAACCTACTATTGTGTAGTAACCTGCGACCGCTTGCAAACGCTGAGACAACAGATTCGCGTCAACTCTCTGACCCGTAGAGCCCTAAACCTTCAAACCAGAACCCTTCTGCCACGAACTCGAGATTTGGTCACGCATGAACTGACACACTTCATCCACTTATTCGCATCAAACGCATTCCCTTTCATGACGTAGTTAGCAAGGCCTGAATGAACATTTGTAGTTGTGGCGAGATCCCTTTTGGACAGGTCCCATTCATCTTAGATTATACGCTGCAAGCAAACCCCTTTAGGAAGGAATGATCAACCGTGGAACAGCTCTGAAATCAGCAGCCGCAAGTCATTTTGCCACACCTGGAAGCACGCGCATCCACCACGCAGCATGTCTGCATGAAGCCCATGCCAGGCTGATTTTGTCCAAACGTCGTCATTCCTGCCTCTAAACCGCCTCATGTCAAGCCAACAAGGCCCTCAAGTATCCTTGCAAGTAGGGGTCGTTGGTAACTATGGAGGTGAAGATCGAGCCGAACAGCATAGTCAAGCCAGTGCCGATCCTCAGTTTGTCAAAGCTATCATGTTTGCAGTAGAGCATTTGAGTCGCTGCCATGATTTCAGACACGAAAACCACTCTGGTAAACACTGTAAAACAAGAGTTCCACCCAATTGTCCATTTTGTTGCAGTAAGATGCAGTAAGAATACTTGGAATGTGCTCAAGCCGTTCTCAATCACACAAACAACTTGCAGTTGGAAGAGGGCGGATATCCGTCCGTGCATGCGACCCGGCACATCCATGCCCAAACCATAATTCTCATCACGTTCGAGTGCATACGGCCGCCAGAGCATCCACATCATGAGCATGAACAGTCCACCTTCACATGGATCCCATCATCAAAGCATCCCTTCCCAAACCAGAATAAATTTCATGTTCGAGTGCATACAGTCGTAGAGCATCCATGCCCAAACCATAATACAGTACCGTTCATATTCAAGTGCATACCGTCGCCAGAGCATCCATGCCCAAACCATAATAAAGCTTAGGTTCAAGTGCATACGTTCGCAGAGCATCCATGCCCTACGTTCGTGTTCTAGCGCAGATGGTCGCCAAAGCATCCGTGCCCAAACCATAATTGGGTTTTTGCTGAAGTGGATCCGATCATAAGAACATCCCTGCGCAAACCAACAACGTTCACGTTCGATGGATAAACGCATCCGTAATAAAGTTGTAGAACTTTCTTGTTCGAGTGGATCCGAATATCAGAGCATCCATGCCCGAATCAGAACAACGTGCATGCTCGATCGATAAGAGTCCATGTTCAAACAATAATGACGTTCTTATTCGACCGGATCTGCTGCCAAGAACGTCTCTCACTGGATCATGCACGGGGCAGCTTGCAAAGCTTCTTGCCGCCTTGTACGGATACGAAATGCCCTCACAAAGAGTTGTGGACACAGTTCCATGGTTCCATGATGTTTCGTGGGAATGGTGTAAGAGCGGAGTCGCTTATGAAACAAACTAACCTGTCTGTGGCTTGTCGCAGCTGTTGAACATCGCAGCGAAACGGCAGTAAAACGCAGAGTAACGCGCTCATAATCACACCATTCCTGCGTACCTTCCCAAATACGGCCTCTTCACCACTACACATGGGCCTTTTTGGCATACCCTGATATCAAACTTCTCTCCTGAAGCGCAGACAGATATTCGCAGTGTTCCTTGCATTGTAGCTCCTAGCAGCTGCGTTAGTTCCCTCAATGCTGATCATACATGTGTCTTCAGCCCCCGCATCCTTCCTCGTCAGGCGCTGGGATAGGCTTGTTCTTCTGCAGAAAGGACCCTAAAGCTTTGCTTTGGTATAAGCTAAAATGACCAGGATCCAAGCTATGCGCACAGACGTTTGTCCCTTTGGCCGGGGAGCAAAGAAACCGCTTTCTCCACAGAAGAGGAGAGCTGCATGTTCCTGCTCCGAAGGAGTCTTCACAAATGGTCGTTCTCGTCTACTCGAGTTCTACTGGAAATTGAAACCGAAGCTACTGTACCACATTGCAAATTCATTGCATTATAGCTTTTGTTCCCTTTCTCTTGTCAGAGGCACTGAGTCATCCGCGAGGGTGGTAGGCGCGCCATGGTCCACTCCATACTGACAATGTACTGGGCCTCCCAACCTAAGCAAGTGACTCGAAACCAGGGATAACCCCCACGTATACCCCATTGCGGTCTGTATGGTCTATACTATAATATATACTATACTATAATATACTGATATACTGTAATAGAATCTTGTGGGGTTTGGGACCTGTGTTGGAATCGTCCCCCGGTTGCATGGCAGCCATCTGCCTACAGCCAAGCAGCTATCATCTTGGATACCGCGGTCGTGGACCCATCCTTGGCTGAAGCCTTCCCTGAAAGGCTGATGAACCCGAATGGCATAGGGGTTATAGGGCTTAGGGTCCAGGTGCCCAAACAGTGCATTCCCAAGCCCTGCTATATATGTAGGGGAACCCAGCATGGCTTCAATCCTTCGGGCTTGGCCCATGCCTAGAGTTTGTCAACTTTTGGACTTGAAAGAGCTTACACCCAAAATTCTGTAAATCCTTTCGCAGATTGCCAAGCATCCATCTGGACTGTTGCCAGCTGAGAACCAGACACATGTCAAGCAGTGCCTCAGGCGGTAAATGCGTGGTATCGCCCCCAACCCCGGCCCTCACCACGCCACAGGTTGGACACTGTCTGGCATACGCAGCCTGATCTTGGGTGTTCTCCCTCTTTCGTACAATCCCTTGTATAGGGACCGCTAATTAAAAGTTATTGGAATCCCCTGGATACGACTTCGTCAAAATTCCTTGACCAGAGAGTTTCATACACCGCAACTTCCAAAACAAAACTCCGGGATTGAGGGCTCCAGGTTGTCAGTGGCCTGGATAGCAGCCTGGCAGCCAGTAGTGTATCCAATCTGCAAGTGAATTACCCAGCTCGTGCCGGGATGCAGGAAGAGCGCGCCGCAGACCCCTAACCACATGACCTCAGTCTGCGGCTGTTGCAACTGGACATCTCTGGACAACACTGTGGAGGTTACCCAGAGTAAGCTTTCGTTACCACCCTGTTTCCGCCTGGAACCTGCTGTTTCAGCTGGGCCAAACAACTATGGCAGGAAACACGTGGAGAAGATTAAGCAACCCGCAAGAACAACCTTGACTAAATCTCACAGTGACGTTCCAGGCAGCTCGGAACTCTCGGCTACGATGGCGTAGCCACTCCTTGGCTGGCTAGGCGATATGTGGATTACGTGATATAAGGGTTATGGGGCTGATGAAGGCAACTGATAACGGATGTATGTCAGGAGTTTCCATGTTGTTTGAGGCAGTACACTCAGGGCGATAGAGAACTCAAGAACAACCAGTGGTGAGTTTGACTTCTGCGCGATTGCGAACAATACTATACATTCGCAATTGTTGCTGATGTAAAAGTGTTGCTGCTGCTGGCAACTCAAGCCTGTCTTATCATGCTGGAGACGCCGCTTATTTAGCTGTGCAACGGCAGTTGCAAATTCCGATGCAACTCGGCTGCTGCAGCGGCTATGCATATTACCAGCACGATTTTACAGCTTGTTCAGCCCTAAGTCTTCCATGAACATCACCAATCTGTGGGTCAGCTCTCTCAGAAGGGACTGGCAAAATTTCCATCAAGCAAGCAGAGTGGGGTTCTGGGCCGGGCCTATGCATGCGAAGATGAATTCTACTGGCCGTTGTCGGGCCGGGCCAGTGGATGTGACATCCATCACGCTATATCACGCTTGTAAACCCGAAGATGGGGTAATGAGCAAAAATGATTTCACGAGAGGCTCTCGCACTGTGCTTTCGAAGCCTGTGATACGATACCATGCTGGAATCTGTGCCACCCGGAGGAGCTGTAGGGCTCGGAGAAACGCCTACACGACAGGTGCACTCTCATGGATGACTTGCTTAATCTCAACTTTGTCTCCGTGCCACTCACTTGCATCATGCGCCGCTTGAGCAAAGATCGTAGCCATTTGGGGGCTTGCATCAGGCACCAGCTGTAGTATGAACCAAAGTCAAGAACTGGCACCTTGCATAAGCAAGTGTAAGTTGCAATCTGACTGGACATGCAACCAATATTGGACTCCATGCTGGATTGGGCTCGAGACTGAAATCGTTCACATCTCAGAGATGGACAAATTCCAAATGAAGACAGCTCCAGCTGGCCTGCATTGGGGATGACCCTGGATTGATCAAGTCAATGAAGGTGGGCGTCACCTGTGTTGCGGGGCAATGAGTGGCGGATTGCAAGCTTTGGCAGCAAACATCAATCACCACTGCTCCACCCCTGCACCACAAACTCCAAGCTCCTAGAAACGGTGCTCGGCCTGCTCATGCTATATTGCTTTTCCGATTGCGGCTTGCACTATCGTGTTGGTAGCATTGTGCTGTCTGCTGCAGGATGGCAAAGGCATGGCATGTCAACAATCCTCGCCAATTTCCTAGGCACAAGGAACCTGGCAAGTATGGACTGTGGAACAAGGAGGCCCTCTTCTGTGATCTAGGAACCCGCTGTGAAAAGTCACCTCCCTCCTTTCATGAACCCACCACTCTGATAGCAAATGTTCTTGCAATATGCAAGAATACGTTTTTTTTGGGAAGCTTCACTGTTCCAGGAGAACCCCAAACCAATGCCCAAATTGTACTTTCCCAAAACAGGGGACCCCGATATAGACCTAAAATACTATAATCCGTATTATAGGGACCCCAAAAAAGGGTACCCCTAATTGGAGTGCTAGGCTTCATGGCCAGACACCAGGACGACTTCCAGGAGCGTCTGTGCCAGAAACCAGTGCCAAATAGTCTGCCGATACTTTGCCTGTCTACCGGCAACCCAAAAAAGGCCTCATGAGCTATGGTCTGAACTCCTAGTATCCCCTTAATAATTATTGTAGTAGGTCCCAGATATAATCCCCTATATAACCCCCCTTGAAGGAGTTTAGACTACAGCTTCCATGAGTTCTGGATTCCCAGAAAAAGACGCTGCTTTCTCAATGCGTTTACAGTAATTCTTTGTGGAAGGAACCGTGGATCCCCAAAGGGTGTACGGCGGAACCAAGAATTCGTTCCCCAAACCTTTTTACACTCGCTCAACCCTGATATCAACCTCTTGCTCATGTCTAAGCCAACGACTGCAAAACCATACAATATGTTCATTGGTTTTGACCTTTCGGCAGAGACGCTCCTACTGCGTTTCTTTCCCCACTGCATTCAATTCATGTTCGAGCAGATCCACTTCCCGGAGCTACATGCCCAAACATATGGTTTCATGTCGAGCGCATCCGCTGACCAGAGCATCCATGCCCAAACCAGAAGAGCTTTCATGTTCGAACGCATCCGATTGCAAGAGCACCCATGCAAAAACTACAACAACGCTCGGATTCGGGCAAGCAATTGTGCACAGGCGCCGCTGTGGGCCATCAGTCTTGCCACCACAGTACTATTGCTTTTTGTGTGTGACAAGAAGACTCAACCGGCGCACGTTGTCTGTCCATGCTGGTA